TAATCCCTAAAAAAAAAATAAAATTCTTTTCTCAATGATAAATTATTTATCGTTAAATGAAATAATAATATAAGAGAAATTGTATTAAAAATGAAAGGAAGTATCGATCACTTTACAGCACTCAGGGACAGCAATGGGAGTTACATTTTAAATGGGCCCTGGTCTTACAGTCCCAGTGGCACTTATAAAGCGGCTGGCACAACATTAACATACCAAAGGGGAGATAGAAACCGTTTGGAGTGCATCTTGGCAACTGGACCGTTAAACGATACACTTCGTTTAGAAGTACGTTTAATTTTCACCTTAATTTCTATACCACACAAAATTCTAGTTAATATTTTTTTTTTTATTTAATTATATAATTATTTATTATATATTCGTTTTTTTTTCTCGTTAGATCTTATTTCAAGAAATGAATCCGGGTATTCTTTACAAATACATGTTGCCAATTAAAGGAGTATTTACCGAAGGAGGAGAAGAAGGTGGGGGTGGTGGTGGTGGTGGAGGGGTTGGTGGACTAGGAGAAAGAATTTTAATACCGCCAATTTCTGAACCAAGTAAGAGAAAGTATGATAATATAATATAATATATTGTTTAAAAAGCAAATTTCAAAGTTTTCAATTAAAAAGTTTGAGAATCACTGAGAGAAGATACTTTTCATTTTATTTTAATACGATATTACACGCAGAGAAGAGAATGATAACAACAATTAACTTTTTGTCAACTCTTATAAACTATTTCCAGTATTTTTTTCATTTTACTAATAGAATGTTTCGAGAAAAATGTTAGATTATATAAAAAAAAGAAGTGTAAGTTTAATATGAAAAGATTTGTTTTCTCTTTAGGAAGAGGATAGTTTTGTAGTTTTATTTTTATTCAATTAAATATTTATTACAATTTCAGAATGTAAATGTAATGTTTCTTTTTAAAATACGAAATATAAATTGGCATATTTTGTATGTGTTGTTATGTATTATATCATTTAATAGATCGTACATGATCAATAAATTCTAATTCCATAAGGAAAGCTTTGCAGAACTGTATATAGAAATGATTGACTCATTAATCAACGACCGGTTAATACATAATTGCGTATATGATTACAGTATCGAGCAATGATCAAAGAGGGAATGAAATTCCCGACGGTGGTTCTCATCGAATCATAAATACTCCCTTGACGAGAACGTAAGCTTGTCTTTCAACAATATTAATAAATCATTCATTACGAATTACAATTAGGTCAAGTTTAAATACGTAGAAATACCTATGAACAACAACAACAACAACAACAAAAATTCATTCCAATTTAATTCGCGCGTGTTATTTATTACATTTCTTTTTTTTCTTTTTTTAATTAACAGCAAATAGAACAATTATTAAGTTTCATTTAAAATCAATAGATTTATTTATTATAATTACTTATGATTATTTATCTAAACAATAAGTCAATTAACCTTCTGCATATAACTTGACCTAATTTTGTATTCTCTTTATGGTATTCGTCCTTTAACAAAACTAAATAAAAAAAATCTGACAAATCATTTTAATTATTTAATTATTCAGTTCTATCATTAGAAGAGCAGATTTTCCACAATCTCAAGGTGGTATTCATTACGAGCATACAAGACACGCCTCACAAACGGAAGAAATGAAACGTCCACCGACGACAGTGATGGCAGGTGATCAGCCTAATTCAAAAATGAAGAAGAAAAAACGAAAGAAATTTGTTTGGAAAGAATTTGGGCCAACGTCGTGTTCGAAAGAATGCGGGGGAGGTAATATAAAAATATTTATTGTTCAATTGAACGCGAAACGTGCTAATTCGTAATAACATTTTTCTTTCTTTCTCGTCTTTATTTTTTTTTTTTTTTTTTTTTTTTTTTTTTTTTTTTTTTTTTTTTTTTTTTTTTTNAAAAAACGAAAGAAATTTGTTTGGAAAGAATTTGGGCCAACGTCGTGTTCGAAAGAATGCGGGGGAGGTAATATAAAAATATTTATTGTTCAATTCAATGAATGTTTTTTCCTTTCCTTTTTCTTTGATTTTTAATCGATCGAAAGAATTTTTTTTTTTTTTTTTTTTTTATTATTATTTTGTTCTTATTTTTTTTTTTTTACAACGAAATGCTGCATGCACGATATTATTGCTTAAAGCAATTAAGAAAAATGCGGATAATGAAAGGTCACCATCGTTGCCGCTTTCGTTTAACGTTCATCGTCTAAGGCGTGGGAAGCGAATCGAGACGCATTCGTTTCGGTGTAATTGCACATTAGAAAAGAAAGATATATATATAAATACACATACACATATATACACATGACAAAAAGAATTACCTTCAAGTTCAATTATTTGTCGTGAGATCACAATCTTCAAATATAAATTTGTTTTTTTTTATACGTTAACTTTAATCAAATTTTCGATTCATTTTTCTCTCGAAATATTTTGTTCAAATGTTTATTCATTATCAGATTATGTCTGATCTAAATCTATTTATTCTAAATATACAAAATATTTACCGAAATTTATTAAACATAAATCAAAGTAAGGATCTTAATTTTTATTCTTTTTTTTTATTATTTTTTTTATACGCCTGAAAGTAGGCAACTGTTTTTACGTGTTTGGTAATAATTTTACGATAATGTTTCCTACTATTACCGACAGAGTACAAAGTGTTGCCTTCTTTTAGGCGTGAAAAAAAAAATAATAAATAATAGAAAATTATCAAATAATATATAAATAATATTATAATTGATTATTATCGTTGATATATTATAAAAATAATTGTTTTAACTAAACAATAAAACATTTAACTAATCATATTGATATATATATACGTAACAAATTAATTGATAAATAACTGTCCATAAAAAGTATTAGAATGAATTGCTTAAATTTAGATTGACAGGATGTGGGTAGTCAAGAAAATAAATAATCACAGCCTTCGTAATCTCTGTATCCGGAAACGCAATCGTCTTGTAAAGTGACACTTGAAAGAGGAAACAGAAAGAGAAAACAGAAAGAAAGTCCTAATATATATCTGCTTGTTGCTTCTATTATTAGTAGTACTAATAAATAGAAATATATACAATTGATCTTAACAAGTAGATAAATTAAGAAAATCTTTCGTATGTCTTTTAGGCGTTCAAACGTCAACCTGGAAATGTGTTCGTGAAAGTACCGAAACAATAGTTGTACACGATAAACGTTGTCGTTATATAGAAAAACCTACAACTTCTTTAGTAATACGGTGTAATGAACATCCTTGTCCGGCCAGGTAAAAATTGCATCTCATTAAATACAAATATTTATAATAATTCAATAAATATTTGATAAAAACATTTTTGAAAAATTTTTAAATTAATGATCAATTTTTTAAAAATAAAATAAACGATATCAAAATTGTCATTTATTTGTTTGTCAAATTAACGTATAAATTGAAAAGAAAATTATTCGATATTGAAATAAAAAATAATTGTAATTAAATTGTTTTGTTAATATCAGATGGAGAGCAGAAAACTGGAGCGAATGTTCGGTTACTTGTGGTGTTGGTAAACGAACGAGAAAACTTGAATGTATTCAAGAATTAAATTCGAGAATGACTATGCGTGTTGCACCAGGTGCTTGCACTACACCACCTGATTTAAAGACCGAAGAATTGTGTTCAAGACCAGCCTGTTCGATTATGAATACACCTGAACTGAGGCATATGCAACCATTGTCAGTATCGGTATCTTCATCAACAGGCAAAACTTATTCACAATCAACACAGAGGTGGAATGTTGGTACTTGGGGTTCTGTAAGTACAAAAAAAATATGATGAATAATTAATAATTATTAATATTTTTTTGGTGATAGTCTTCAAATTTTTCAATCATCCAAAGTTTCAAAACTTCTCAATCAAATTCAATTATTTCGTTCTCATATATTTTATCGTATTTTTGAAATATTTTATAATTCAGTGTTCGACTAGTTGTGGAAAAGGATTCAAAGAACGAACGGTCACCTGTATAACTTCCGGTGAATCGTGTCCATTGTCAAGTAAACCTACATTCCGAGAAGAATGCAACAATGCACCGTGTTTGGTTAATAATGAAAACGAAAGTAATTCCGAACGACGTTCACCTTGGTTGCATTCTACTTGGTCGCCTACGGTGAGAAACAATTTAAATATTTTGTGTTTAATTTTAAAAAATAATATATATAATATTTTCACAGAATGATATATATTTTTGGAAATTATACAAAGTAGTTTAATAAAATATACAAAAATTTGTTTAACACTTAACATTGTGTTTTACTTTTTATTGAATTACAGTGTTCCACGGAATGTGGTATAGGTATTGAAAGTAGACGAGTGGCTTGTTCCGAAGGAAGTGAATTATTTTGCGATCCCAAAGAGAAACCGGAAACAGAAAGGCAATGTTTCGGAAATGCAACCAATTGTGAAAACGCTAAATGGTTTACCGGGCCATGGACTTCCGTTAGTAAATCATTTCTAATTTTAACAATCATTCTCACAATTATCCTATATATTTTCTCTTCAATTTATTTGCAAACACACACACAATATAATATTTAATTAAATAATATTAAGAAATAATATTATTTATTTCTTTTGCAAAATAAAAATAAAGTATCAGTAATTAATATAATATTTAATTAAATATAAAATAATTTCAATTATTAATGTGTCAAATAATTTAATCATCTTCTTCTTCTTTTTCACAGTAACATAACATTTTATTTATATCTACTTTTATATGTTCATCTTAATGTTTATTAATTAATCATTTGCAAATCCATTATTAGATAGCATAATTGCTTGTTATTTTTAGTGCTCCGTATCTTGCGGAATTGGTGTACAGTATCGAGACGTGCTGTGCATTTCGAAAACAACGAGAAAAAATGATGGAGAGTATACTCTGGTAGAAATGAAAAATTGTAATAGCACGAAGCCGAGAAGCGAACAGGTTTGCGAGATAACGCCTTGTTCAGCTGAATGGTATACCTCCGATTGGTCCAAGGTAAAATAATTATATACTTTAATAACATTAATAATAATTCCTATGTAATTAGATTATTATTAGGTATGTTCTCAATATTAAATAACATGTAAGTCTAGAATAATAATAATATAATATTTATGCAAATGTAAATGCTTATAGAAATTTTTAAAATGAAAACTTCTTTAAAATTGTATATATATATATGTAAATATACATCTACAAAATTAAATCTGCGAGAGGAATGAGATAGAATACAATATACAGGCTATTTTTCTTCTTCGAGAAGAATATATTATTAATATATAATTATAAATAAATAAATAACGTTTATATGTGTGTACTAAAAATTCATATTTTATATTTCTTTCTTTTTCAGTGTTCTGCTACATGTGGTAGTGGTCTGCAAACAAGATTAGTCCGTTGCATTCTCGAAGGTGTTAGTAGCTCAGATTGCAAAGAATTTACTAAACCGATAGAAATTCAGCAATGCAACGTTGAGCCATGTAAAAAAAATATTACGTTACTAACTAGACCACCAAAAAGTAAGTAATAACTATTCATTATTTTTCACACGTTATACGTTATGTGTAATAAATAGTTTTGACAAATTATTTACATTTTAAATACTTTTTATATTTTTTTTATTATATTATTATTTTTAAAAGAAACATTACGTTTATTATTACTTAAATAATTATAATAGTTATTGCATATATAGTACATTTGTAAAGGTAAATTCGAGATCTCATTGTATATTTATTTTATATAATTTATTAATTTAATTTAATTTTTATTTGTAGAAGTTTTAGAATCAACAGAATGCGTGGAAAAGAATCCAGAATGTGATTTGGCGGTAAAAAGTGGAATATGTCACAGGAAATATTACAAATACACTTGTTGCCGATGTCGAGATTAATATCGTGCTATTTAACGAAAATAAGAAGTATAAAAAAAGAAAAGAAAAGAAAAGAAAAATAGAAAATGAATCGTATCGTATCGGATAAATTATTTGATATCGTTTAATTCGCAATAAGGTTTGTAGTCATTTCTTAAATCATAATCCTTCTACATTAGGGCCATTCGTATCTCGAAATTTATAATTGTTGGATCGTGTAAAAAGTTTTGTTCGTATTTCAATGAAATAATAGTCAAACAAATTCTTTGGTTTTTTATATTCCATCTAATTTTCTTCAAAATAAATTTCAAAATTATTTTTTACTTGATTTTTCATTCTTTACCGATATCACATTTTCAAATTGCGCTTATAATTTTTCACCGAGAATGTACAAATATCGTAGAATTATTTTATTTTATTATTTTTTTATAATATATCTCAGCTTTTTTTTTCAAACGTATTTTAATATTGCAAAATCCAATTAATATTATCAGAGTTGTGCGATCCTAAAGTTAATTATCGTGAAAATACGAAGAAACATTTTACTCGGCCCAATAATTTTTACGATAAAGTATTGAATAGGGCGAGGGGGAAGAGGGAAGGGGGTAATAGGTATAGACAGAGAGAGAGAGAGAGAGAGAGAGAGAGACCGAATCAAGCTTGTTTATAAAAGACTGTTGTTTCAGAGAAAAAGTATCGTGCATATTTTATTTATATTCTATTATATATATAAATATACGGATTTTATTAATATTAATTATATATCTTATAAATTATAATTATTATTAGTCACACATTTTACTAGCTGCCAATTTTCACGATAGGAGATCGCATTTAAAACAAAACGAAAAAAAAAAGAAAGGAAAGAAAATAAAAGAAAATAAAGATAAAAAAAAAAAAAATAAAAAGCATTACTTCGATAGAGAAAATTAGAATGAGAGATCGTAATTAAGCTCGTTCTCGTAATTAACACAATTAACGAACGTTTACTAATCGTTAATTGCAAATAAGTCCACCCCGTTGTAGATTATTTGCAATCAATTGTAATCAAAAAAAAAAACAACGGATTGATGATGATTAATCATTCGAATTTAAGAAATTCTGCTAATACGAAAGCAGAAATGATTTTCGAATGTTTACATCGATCCGATATATCGAGAATCAATATCATCGTACCTCGAAAAACATATCGTAGAATTATTATTATAATTCATTTTTCGTTATATGTAATATCGTTATAGAAATTTACGAAGCTTCTTTAACGAAAGAAGACAAGAAGAAGAAGAAAAAGAAAAAAATGTTTCTGCACGAATAACAAAATAAAGCATAATTATTAGGATTACAATGAAATATAAATATAGTCAATTGATGTATAAGTCTATCATTGTAGATATATCAGTATACTACGAATGAAACAATACATTATTAGCGATATTTACAATTAGCTTTTTGTCCTGACGAAACATACGTATCCTTTAAAAAAAATAAAATTGTGATCGATGTTCATTGCGTTGCCATAGCATGTAAGACGACAATTCAATCTCATTAATATTTTAATTTAACAATTTATTTTCTTTTTTTAATTTGATTATTTTATATTTTCCATATTAATCTCGTTCATTAAAAAAAAAAACAAAGAACAAACTAATTTGATGCGATAAATACAAATTGGATATACGCATAAATGTTCACAATATTTATAATGGGTAAATAATCATTTTTTAACTTTTTTATTTTCGCCCCTGAAATACTGCAATCCCGTCGTGTTACTACGTATAGAAAAAGAAAATATAATGGTAAACTATATATTAGGAATATGAGATATCAAACGTGTTCTACTATTTTCCATTTTCGCTGTACTCGAAAGATTTCTGAAACAATAAAAGTGCATGTAGAAATAATAAAGAAACATAAAAAAAATAACAGGGAAAATTAATTGTTAGAAATTTCAAATAATTATGAAAATATATTATCAAGGTTTTAAACACAAAAACATGGATACCGTTTCGTTCTTCGTGGAACATATATACAATACAAATATCTACATCACGTATCTATTTTTGATTCCCGTTATATAACTATAAATATGTATATTCTCGTGATTAAATATAGTCGGAATAAAGTATCGTATTCGCGAAAGGATTTTAGTCTCGTCTAAGAACTTAATACGATTACAACTGTATGGTGATCATAATTGTTCATCATTCATTGATCATAACGTGACATTTTAAATCGTTGTCGTATTCTTCTTCAAAGATTTTCTCGAACGAATACATCCATTTATTTTGTACATTGAAACAGTGTTCGTTTAATTATAATAAGATCAAGTTTTCCTCTACGTTTTGGAAATCGTGATAATGTTCAGCACACAAAGGTATTATACAAGGAATTACAAAGGAGAGTATCAGACTGACACAATAAAATTGATATTAGTTGTACGTTTGAAAATTTCAGTTCGTCTGTTTGGCATGAGAATTGGTGTTAACTCCTTTGTAGATTTAAAAAATTAAATTAATCTACAAGTGTTCCATAATTATATACAAAAATATTTGTAATAAACTAAATTCACACTTAAAATGATTACATTTTACCATATACACATACATCACACTAATATTACAAATTTCCAAAACGTTTTAACGTAACAACACTTTATGTAATAAACATAAAAATTTATTATTTATTAATATAATATACAAGTGTATAGTTAAAAAGATGTGTTAAAGTAACATAAAATATACAAAGGATCGGATCGACATAAAAATTATGTAAATGCAAATATTCAAGTTTCTGAGTCAGTCATATTAAATACTATTGTTAGTAGATATAAGGTTTAACGAACGTAATAATCTCAATTGTTAAATTGTTATTACAACCTTTTCAAAAATCTCTTCTAAGATATTTTATATTCATTCATTTGCAGGTCGTTTATCTGCTTCGCTATTCAACTTGGCACCCTTGCCAGTCCACCTTTCTTTTAATTCAACCTTCAATCCTAAATCTCTTAAGGCAGCTTTAATATCATTTTCTAACTTGGGCCCATGCATTACAAGAGCACTCTTTAATATATCTTCAACACCGTAACCAATAAATTCGTGGCATTCCATCTTGTTCCTTACAGACATATTTCTTATCGTCCAAGCTGCTTGCTTCAAAACATTAACATTTTTAGGATAGCTCTTCATAGCATCAATAATTATGCTAACTGATCCGCAATCGTAGAATACTCCTGCATTAGATGAACTTCTTAATGTTAACGCAGAGATGCATGCAAGTCCAGCAGAAACAATTGATTCAGATTTCTATAAGTTTGATATAGAAATAATAATAATAATAATAAATAATAATAATAATAATTAATATCATTCAAGATATTTACTTTAAACCTGCTGATCACAGAAACAATCAAAGGTGCACTTCCTGCAATCACTATTTGCGATTTCACATTGTCGTTACCTGCGAGAGCTTTTAATAATTTCAAAGCTTGCYAATTTAATTTYTCTGAATCGGGATAATTAATGATAACATCTAGAACAAATTTTAAACCACCCGCATCTGTAACGTCCTGACAGAATTCATTTCTTACGATCAACGAAGCAAGCGTTATCATAATGTCACCCATTACAGCTTTCTCGTTTTTGAATTCTATATGAAACAAAAGAAGATACGCATGTACCTTTGACATGCAAAAGTATATTTAAATATCTATATTAATTTGCATTGATGTATATGTATGTATATGTTTAATTGTTTAAATCTAATTTTAAAAAAATATATAAAAACTAAACAGTAACATATAATATTTACTGGACAACAATCCAGTAAGTACATCCAATGCACCCCTTGCCATAACTGTTGCATGTTCGTGTGCTTTTCCATATTCGTGTCTTATATCATCGTCTAGTACAAGTGCTCTAAGTACAGAGCATGCATCTCGTACTTCAGATGCTGTCGCATCATCTCGAGTTAATATTTTTTTAAGTCTTTTAAAGATATGAGCATTGAATATGTTTTGTCTATTTGCTTCGTGTTTTATACAACATTCTCTAATCCAACGTAACAAACATTGCAACACCAGTTTGTCCCTCTGTTTATCCAAGATTCTTTAAAATAAAATAATTTCTCTTTGTTATAAGTATTATATAATCGATGTAAACTAATACAACAAAATAAGATTAAATATTTTATTGTATTAGTTTACATCGATTATACAAAATAAGATTAAATATTTAACTTACTCCATTTGAATAGAAACACCTTT